TGGGCCTGTTTGGTACAGCTTTTCATTTTCTACAGTAAATCAATTCTCATTTTCAACCACACATTCTTCAATAAAATAATATTTTCCATCACATCAATACTTTTTTCTTCTTTTTCAACCACACATTTTCTATCATATCACTATTCAAAATCAATTCTTCCCCAAAAAATTCCTCCCAAACAACCACTAAAGTATAATCCTTAGTGTATTGATGTTGCTTCCAAGATAAGTTTAGCCTGTTCTCACATTTAATTTTTTAATAATTATTTTATTGAGAGAATATATAATTAAAAATTAATTTGAGAAAAATTAATTTTCAAATAAGTTGTCTCAAATAAATACACTCGTCCCTATTTGAGCCACATTCTATGAAAATTCATTTTTCTTCAAATCCATTTTCAACCGCGCATTCTCTCAATAAAATAATTTTACATATAAGTTCAAAACTTTTCTCGAAAATCCCTACTACAAAACCTAATCTACATAAAAATGGGGCTTAAGCGCACCCATGATAACCAGTCGAAAGCAATTGCTCTGTAAATAGTTCCAATCTATTTAAACAAGGAATCGTTTATGATTTTGGATCCAATGCTACACACACACAAACATTTTTATGCCAGAATATGCTAGAAATTTTACGTACCTCAGCTTGAAGTTTTTGATTTTGTGCTTGTAGGGCATTATTATCTGTTTTAACAGCATCAAATTGTCTCTTAAGAACTTCATAATCTTTCTCCAATTGCTTCGTCTTCCACCTTGCCCTCCTGTTTTGGAACCATATCGCAATCTGCCTCGGTTGCAGGCCTAAAGCCCGAGCCAGCTGCCTTTTCCTCTCAGGCTCGAGCTTATTCGCCAACTCAAAATTCTTCTCGAGTGTCTTCACTTGATCCATGTTAAGCCTCCTCTTCTTCTCTCCCAGTTGTGATCCGTCGTCCGACAAATCATCCTCCCCGTGATTATCTTCACAAGCATCGGAAAACACCGACGATCTCTTCCCCATAAGTGAAACTACACCTGCATCAATTAAAGATATGTTATAAATCCATGGAGAGGTTGAAATATTTGCAAAACTTCATGTAAGTATATGTGGAGAGAGAGGACCATGGAAGTCTTGAGGGTTGCAATGGGGAAGAATTGGATTGAGAGAAGTGGAGGGTCGATGTTCATCTTCATTATGAGTTTGCAGCATAAAATTGGCGGGGAAGAAGGCCATTTACATGCAATCACGATCCACCAGTCATATTTTTAGAGAGATATAGGAAGAGAAATTATGAGAGAGAGAGAAAGAGAGAGAGAGCTGTATATATGTATAGACTCAATAAATCATTTCATATGTTCCTAGTTAACGTCAAAGAAAAAAAAAATGTCGCCAGTTGATAGGAGACTCATTCATTGCTCTGATATTTAGCTTATATACCTTATCAGCTTCAACTAAATTATTTCTTTTCTTTATTTTCATGTCTCTTTCATTGTATCCTTTTTTTTATTTGTTATGGTGTTCCCATCCCTAATATATATAGGAGAAACAGTGGCAAAGTTTAAATTTGAAAGGCTAAATTTATTGCGTGAAGTGTGGTGCATATTTTTCTACATGGACAGTTGTCATTGAATTTAAGTCACGTTCTTTTATAGGTTGATTCCTTTGCCAGAGAGAAAAGGGATTCAAGTTTTGTGTGTGTGTGTGTGTGTGTGAGAGAGAGAGAGAGAGAGAGAGAGAGAGTAGTTGTAGTAAATGATTATTATAGTAGTTTATTGCCCTTAATGGTTGAATTTAACTTTAAAGTTTAATAGGATTGGTACATAGGCTGTTCTTAGAATACTTAAATGAGTGATTAATAATGTAATGCGCTTAGTATTATAAGTTCACTTGTTGATATATCGAACTGAATAGTGTTGAAATGAATATATATGAATAAGACGATAAATTCTATCTATTGTACTGGACAATACTGCATAATTCCTGAATCAACGTACCAACTTATCAACGTGGGTGTTTAAAGCATGAACATTGCACCATTTTTTTCCTTTCAATACAGCATTAAAGCTTGGTGGTGGCAGCTGGTGCTGTGCGATGGTTATAAAGAACTTTCGAATTCGAAACAGTGAGTTGGTTGCTCTCCAAGAAGGCCTCAAAGTGGCTCGAGACTTGGCGTTCGATATGATTTGGTCGTATGCAATGCATCAAGGGTGGTAAAAGGGATCATGAACAAGGCGACTTCTGTGTCGAATGCTTTTCTATTTGATGATGTCGTAGCTCTTTTTGTTGTGATTTGTGGTTCTTGTCACTTTATTCCACGATATGGTAGTGAGGTGGCCCATAACTTAGCTTTTGATGCTTAATATTTACTCTGCATATTTTCTTTGTACGGAACGATTTATCTTAACATAATCTTGTTTTGATTTCAAAAAGAAAAATTGAAATTTTATTCATTATAGTGTCAACTTCTTTCTATTGCGGTATACATGCATTGTGCTAACGAAATTTAAACGCCCGACTATTGAACACGCACGTTGAGCGCTAGTGGACAAAAGCAAGAGAGGGAATAAGTAGGAATATAGGGAGGGGGGCAGGAGGTGGCACCCAACCCACCAACAGGTAGTGTGCACTGTGCAGCAGGACATAGCATCTTTTCCCATCCCATTATACTATCAGCAACTATTCAGATAATAAAGATAGAAAAGGGAGAAAAGAAAAATCCCAGATACCTCTCTTTCATATGCCTATAGAGCTGGTCTTTTTTGTCTTAGTTCCCCCTACCCCACCACCACCGCCACAACCCATTCCATGCCACTTCCCCATTTTATCCATACAATGGTGCCCTTAAATATATGCCCTTTCCTCCCAACTCTTCTCTGAAATAAATTTACCTCTTCTATTATTCATGTTACTTAGCTTAATTATATATATGGTTTCTATAACTAAGGATTTAGGTAGTACATGGCTTAAGGATACACGTTTTCTAAAGTTAAAAAAGGGATTTTATTTTATGTGTTTTTGCTTAGAGTTAAGAGGTGATTTTTAAAACCTTTTTTCCTAGATTACTTCGTTTTTCGTTTCTACCTGAGGGGAACAACATGGGGACATATTTAAGGAAATAAGCCTATACATTTTCAACCTTATAAATTTGAACATGAAAATAAATTGGTCAAATTTTCTCTATATTAATTTGATTTGGATTCCGCTCACTTTCGAATATAGGGTTTTTTTTTCTTGTTAGGATCATATTCAACTATTTGATCTGAATATCAATTAGTGTCCACAAAGAACGATGTAAAACTTTTATAGTATTCGATCACCATCATTTGAGTTACTCGGCCCATGATTTTAAGAGCGTCTTTGTTGCACTCCAACAATTCTTCCATAAGCATAACGTTCTTGTAACTCAAATTCATAACCTATCTCTGATACAACTTATTAGGATTGAATTTTAATTATCTCATCTGAAAATCAATTAGTGTCCAGTAAATATAAGATAAACTTTTTTATGATCATTCGATCACACTCACTCGAATGACCAAACACATGAACTTAAGAGCAACCTTATTGAACCCAACACTTTTAACAATGTAAGTCATTCTAAAATCTCAAACAAATATGCTCATGAACCTATAATAAAACAGCAAATTTTATGTTGCTGCTTTGAATATTTCTTGCTAAACTACATATATACCTTTTTATTTAAAAGGGGGATCAAATTAAACTATATAACTTAATTTTTCTTTAATTCCAAGATTTTATTTTTTTTGCTAAGTAATACTTATATATGCATATCTAACTAGTGTGTGTGAATATGCATGGGACAGAACCAAGAAAAACAATTACGATAAAATCTATAGTTTCCTCGAAAAAATTATTATAATTGACATATTAAGCTCAGAATGGTGATATTTATGTACATGTTTCCTCAATCCAACTGGTATGTTAGTAGCCAAGTCTATCAGTTGATGCTAGTGTGATCGTACAATTCTTTGGAGTAAAAATGACTAAACAGACAAGATATGAATAATATGACCTACCACTCTTGAAATAGGGGTGATAATGGGGACCCACATTGCAAATTTTACACAGGCCAAAAACAGTGCATCACATGACTTTATTAGTTGGAATTAAGCTGGAGGGCTTTCCCATCCATGTTCTTGTGTGATAAAATTTTGAATTATTTTCTGTATTTGAAAAATAGAATAAAATCTTTTCTGCATTATGTAGGTATTAATATAATGTAGAAAATTTTCATTCCATTCTGTATTCAGTGTGCATAAATTACATATTCTAATAATTATATTACAAAAGAATTTATTTTAAAATTTTAAATAAAGAAACGAATTCTCCAAATGCCCTCATGTATGCTTATTAATCTGTTGCATTCAGCTCACAAGAAACCGATCCCCATGTGCATTTCTGTGCTTTATGTCAATCTTTTTTCTCCTTTTCTTCATTTTGAAAGAGATTTCTCAGCCACTACCTCCATTACCCTACAATTGTTTATTTCCATGCCGAAGCTTTTCTTATTTTTCTATTAGACCATTCACACTGTGCTTGTCTCTGTGAGTGTGTGTGTGTGAGAGAGAGGGGGTTTGGCAATATTTTTTTCACTTCGCTCACGTTTTACAACCATTATTTGGATAAAATGAAATTTTGAATAGTGATTTTTTGAATAATTGTATAATTGAAAAGTAGGAAAAAGTTTTGGGCATATATACAGAATTTTTGATTGTGTGAATGTATGGTTAAAAATGAGTATGTACAATTTTTTTTTAAATAATGGTTGTCAAACAGGGGTTTCCTAACCCTACTTGGTATACGGTGTTTTACTTAAATTTAATGACGCAATTCACTTTTAGAAAGGATGCCTATGGTAAGGTTTACGAAAATAAGATATATTTTCAAGAATTAATTAGAATTATGTATATAGGAGGTGTCGCAAAAACTCGCTTCAAGGATCTTCAAAACAGTGGTTTTAGGCTCAATTCCACGTTACCTTTCTTTAGGGTGACAAAAGAGCTAAGTAGCTCGTTGGCTCGGCTTGTTAAGGGCTTGTTCGGCGAGCGGCTCGTGGGTTCGTAAAAAATGTGAACAAAAAAGTAAAAAATAAATAAATAAATAAAACTCAAATCAGAAAGTGACGAGCCAAATAATCACTACATGGGATTGCCACCGCTACATTTCCATACCAAATAATCAATTCAAACGGTTCCAACCCACAACCAATATCTACCTCGATTGCTTCTCAGTTTCACCAACAAAGGACAAGATTACGGTATTGATTTGTAAGCCATAAAGGCACGAAAAAAAACAATGAAGGAGACACAAGAGGAGGCCAATAACATGAAGTCGGTCACCAATTTTTAGAAGTACAAAGTAGCCGGATTTTTTAAGGGCAGGCACGTTTTTCACTCTACGCGCACACAAATAACACACTAAATGACTAGGGTAAAAGCAACCAATATATAGAGTAGGTTAGGTTATAGTTGGACCAATAATAGAATTACATGTGCCAAGATTCAAAGCCTTCAATAGGTAAATATATATGAACCGTGAGTAATATTAATTTCTTACAGTACTACGTTCTCACAAGACAACATACTAACACTAAGTTAATCAACAAACGACCAACACATGTGCAAAAAATGCATAAATGACTCACAAAAAGATCTCACCACACTTATCATATTGTTTTACTCATCATCCAAAACTTATGAAATTCAATCCAACGTTTACGTCATAGAGTAGAATTCATTGGGTATCAAAACCTAATAGGTGAGTTTTTAGAAAGATATTAAATTAAAATGGAAATATATGATAAATTAATCCAAAATTTAAATGTTTAATTTGCATGCATTTAATTGCACTAATGCATGATTTAATGGTTTTGAATTATAATTTTTTCATGTAGTAGGTTTTGTCCCATTGAATTTACTATACATGCAAAGTTTCGCATTTCAAGTTTTGACGATCAATTATACTCCTTTTTCCTTCGTTTTGATGTTTTCTCTCCATAATTTTTTGTCAATTAAGGTTTTTAACAAGGTAGATGTTATGTAAATAGTTACCTAAGGTTGAACGTTGTAAATCGAGGCTATAATTATGGATGACTAATTTGCTCTTGTAACTCGAATTCTATGAGGTTTTGTTCAAAATAGAATACACACTTGAATTAGTATTATCTCTGTTCTCTTTTTTATTCTCTATTTTATAACAATTATATACATATG